TCAATTTTGAAAAAAATAAATAAATAACAAGTTCTAGGATAGACCTAAAAAATGATGATAACAACCGATGAGTTCTCTTTTAGATAATGTCTCATCACCCAGAGATTTCAAACCAAAATCCGGTTCTATTAGTTAAAAATCCGTCAGTGATAAAAAGTAATAAAAAAAACATCTGGACGAATTGAAAAACCCCGATTTTGGTTGATTTTTCCAAAAAAACTTAAATTTTAAATAATTTTTAACCAATAAAATTCCAATTTCAATACCCTAAAAAGAAAAAATGCAATATATTTATATACTACTTATTTGTTTAAGAATAAAAATCATTTCAAATTATATAATAAATTTACTATACAAATAACAAATAACAAATAGGATAGTATATATCATCATATATTTTAATAAAACCAAAATCATATTCTGGAATATTATGAGAATGCTTTATCTTATAAATGCTTAGTAAGTATTGCACTAGTTGAGTTGATTATTACTCCCTCTGCCCTATAAATGTACAATACAATTTTTTTTGTTTTTGTTGTCTCACTAACTTTGCTATTGTCCCTTTTAGTTAAAAAATTTGTGGTTCGTGTTAAATTTAGTAAAAATTGTAAATAATAATCTCAATTATTACCGGTCCGCTAATAATAATATCAACCATTGATAATTTTTGTATAATCTCAACTATATGGACCGTCCTTGAATAATGGTCCATGACCGGTTACTACCTGCTATCATAGGTCAATTTTAAATAGAAATTAAGCGTATTCTATAAATAATCTGAACTATGTGTGTTCTTCTTTTAATAATCCCAACTATCAACTCAATATTTTACAAAAAGTAGAAATATTTAGTTGAATTTCAGATTTTAAATTTTATAAAAGAAAGTTCACCTAAATATAAAAACGTGTTGCATTTTAGAAATAAAAAAATTCAATTTTTTATTCTCTGGAATTTTTTTTGACAAATAATCGTTTTTGAATTCTTTTACAATTCACGGGTTTTATTAATTTTTTAACTACTGTAAAATGATTTAATATTTTAGGATGGTTAGCTTTTAATTTTTTTTTTCATATTTTGAAAATAAGTATTAGTATTTTTATCTTTTTCACTTTCTTAATTTTGAAAATCAAGGTTTTCATTTTTTCAATTTGAATTTGTACTTAATTTGAATATCATTTATCCTTTAAAGTTTTTATATTGACTATCCTTTAAAATATCTTACATGCTATGAAATTTGAATTTTGAAATTCATAAGTTTTTCTATATTCTATAATTATATATTTTATATTCTTTAATTCTACAAGCTATCAAAAAAAGTTAATTAAGTAAAAATAAGTTTTTATAATCTTTTTTACCCTTTTCTATTGATTTATGGAAATTTTAATTGGTCCATCAGAAGTCGACAAATGATAGTTCGGATTATTATAATCTAGTATATCTTTTTTAATTGGCTGAACAGGTAGTCGGTCACGTCGGTCCATTATTGGCAGAAGGTCCCTAAAATTGGGATTATTCTGAAAAAAATCGATAGTTGGGATGATTATGAGCGGATCGCCAATAGTTGGGATTATTACTATCAATTTTTCCTTAAAGTTCTCTCCTTCGCACAAACGTCAACCACACAATTTTTACTTTATTATTCCTCGTGCCGGTCAAACCTGACCATGTTTTAAGGGACTACTGGAGTATGAAATAGCTACCTTTTATTTCAATTTTGTATGCAATTACTCCCCGAAAAGAAGTTCCACATTTCCTTTTCGGGATGTCCCAACACGTTCCACCTTTCCTTATTTGGCAAACAAATTTACACCAAAACAGTGTCAAATAGTGCAAAACAGTACCAAACAGTGTAACAACGGTGTACTCTATAGTAAAATTTACTACTCAATAAATTTATTTTCTTAGTATGTGTGAAGTCAAACCCGGAACTTGTTTGCGAAACGGAGGGAGTATATGTTTATTATTATATGGTTGACCGATTTTATAGCGTTGACCGGTTTGATCTGACTGAGTCCGAATTGACCCGTGATCCCGGTCACATGATCAGATCATTTCCCGGTCCGGTTTCTTAAATAAGATTTTAAAGAAATTATGGGGGTGTTTGGAACTGATTCTGCTTCTGCTTCTGCTTCTTTTTTAGAAGCAGAAGCAGAATCAGTTTTCAGAAGCTGGTACCCCCCAGCTTCTAAAAAAACTGATTCTGAGAGTAAATTAGAGCTCCAGAAGTGCTTCTGGAATTTCACCCAAACACTCAAGCTTCTGCTCCCTGAAGGAGGAGAATCAGTTTTGAGAATCAGATCCAAACACCACCTATATCTACTCGCTTAATTAAACTTGTGTCCCACTTGGTAGAGTAGCCCGTGCCTACATAGATGAACAGACATATGACCAAACCATGTAAAGCGTGATGGAATTATTGAGGGAGGAAGATGATGAATGGGAGGAAGTGGGCCCTACATCTCTGAACAATACAATCAATCAATGGGTGAGAGATCGACTTTTGAGCTCCTGGACCTGAAGCTTCACCACAGTTTGCGTCGCAAGTACGCCGCAGTAAAAGAGTGTAAAGAGTGTTTGTAAAAAAAAAAGTGTAAAGAGTGTTTGTAGTTGTTAAAAAAAGACCGTTTTCAACTTTTGACTTAAAAAAGTTTTTTTTACTCGAATAAGGCTTAATTCATAAAAATAGCATTTAGTAGGGGGGTAAAACTAGAAAAGAACCACAAATAACCATCTGCACGTGGCCGAGACTGAGAGCTAACCACCTGTGAAAAAGCAGTATAACTCGCTAGACCAAAATTGAGCAACTTAAAGCCAATGACGGTAATTGCAGACTTTCCCTTCCCCAACCTTAATGCAAGAGTCTTACAAGGAAAAGAAACATACCAGAAAAACACAATACATCAATTAAAGTCATCAAAACAAAACAAGACAAAGACAGAAATAAAAACACCAAAGCAACGTTTCTTCATTCCAAAGAACCAGTATGGACTCGGCGGGTCTAAGAGGCCTGACCCGCCCCCTCCCCGTTTTTCGGCCTCTCCAGTGCCATTCCCTCTTCATTAGCATCTGCTTCAACCTGTTCATCCCAAACTTGTTGGAAAATATTCCATTTAAATGCCCTTGGACCATTTATATAATTTAATAAATATTGGGGACATTTATGTCTTACCATTAAGTTTGTCATATGACATATTTGGTCTCTTTATTTATGTATAGTTAACATATGATGGGTATGTTTTAACATTAAATAATACATAAGGGGCCAATTGGGTTTCTCTTTGATACAAAACATAAATGACCGCTCGTTCCATTCTTACGACAAATGAGAAGGGGCGTGTCTCCTCCCAAGGGTCACAAGAACACCTATAATAAGAGACCCAAGGGAGACTTAGAAATCCATCAAATTTGTTGTTTGTATCCTTAGAGAATCCACACATCCATGGCTATGGCTTCATCATCTTCTACAGCACAATCAAAGTTTGGTTTCTCCCCGACTGGTTAGTGTTCTTCGATGTATTTGATTCTGAAATTTATCATGTTTGTGGGATTACATCCTTAATTGGGACTGAATTTCTCAACATTTGGTATCAGAGCGTGTTAATTCTCACTTACATGATAAGTTTCGAAGTTAATATGCCGTAATCAATTTATTCTTCTGTGCCGATTTCCCGTGTTAAACTTCCTGCCGCTGTTTGAATGAGTTTTTCAACCAACCGCCTTTCTGTTTGGCTGCTTTCTAAAGTCGATGATAGTTATAATTTACTTAGTGACTATTGTCTCTAAAATTTGTCATGCTTTTAATTTCTTTATTTTAGTGTATCGTCCCCAACTATGTGTCACTATGTTGATGAATAAGTGCATACACTGATACACGTAATAGCATGACTCATGTTTAATTCTTATTCTTCTTTTAACCCATTTTGATTTGAATAAGTTTATGTTATATGCCAACCGGTGGTAGAAAATGAAATTAAGATTTTTTTAATACTCATGATGCACATGGGCGGAGCTAGGGGTGGGCCAACCTAGGCCCTGGCCCACCCCAAATTTAAAAAATGGCTTAATTTTCAAGGTAAAAACTTCCGTGTAATTTTTTTTCCTAAAAATAATCTTTGCACCGGCCCAGTCCGACCCAGTGGTCTGGCTCCGCCCCTGATGATGCATCAATCTAATCAGAAGTGCATATTATCTGCCATTATTAGAAGTGCACTTTGTTTGTTTGGTTAGGATGAACACGACATACCAGTACTACATGTTAATAAAATGATATCCAATTGTCAGTTTGGTTGTAGACCATAAATTTGTAATATTACTCTAATGTATATTCAGCCTAATGCAGATGTTATTTTGTCTGCCTCATTAAGATTAACAAACGCAGACCACTAAACTTTGATAAACGGATATGTATCTATTAGTTATCAATTATTCACATGGTTCCTTATACATAAACTGATTATATTATTCTGGAAATTTGCTAGTTTGCTAGTTTGAATCATTACGTTGTCTGTTACTAATCTGCAGTTTTTGACTTATTACAAATGCAAATATATGATGTAAAATTTGTTTATGAATATTTGCTTCCATATTCAAAGTTTTAGTATGGATTATTGATTAATGATCTTAATGTCAAATTCAATGATCGGCCCAGCGGAAGATTATTGATTTTGACTATCTTAAACAATTATATGAGTTTTCTTTTAACAAACCCAAAGGTGTGTTATTTGATAACTTATGTAATGAAATTTAAGCATAAATGAATGTGTTATATTTCTGCCCAAAGGTGATATATGACATATTTGCAGCCTAATTTTAATTTTAATATCATAATGTTTGATAGTTAGCATTAGCCAACGCAATGTTAGTTATTAAACACGATATGAATTTTCCTATTATTTGGTGTTGATAATAGGCTTATTTACTGATAATTGACACGCCTTATTGTATTCCCTTATATATTATAAATAGCTTCTATTATTGCCTCTGTTAAACCTTTTATTTCAGCATCTACTGTTACCCCATACAATTATGGGATAGAACCTCTAAATGGTACAAACTTTTCAACATGGAGAGAATCTATAAAACTCTCACTTGGCATGATGGATCTCGACCAAGCACTGAGAATGGATCCACCAGGTGCTCCTAATGATGAAAGCACTGTGGAACAGAAGCGTTCTTATGAACAGTGGGAGAGGTCCAACCGAATGTGCCTCATGGTGATTAAGAATTCCATATCTGTAGCCATTCGCGGAGCCATTCCTGACTCTGAAAATGCGAAGACCTACCTAGAATATGTGGAAGAACAATTTAAGGGCACTTCTAAAGCACATGCCAGTACCCTAATTCTCAAAATGTTGACGAGTAAGTATGATGGAGTAAGTGGTATTCGTGAGCACATCATGAAAATGTCTGATATGTCTAACAAGCTCAAAAGTATGGACATGGAGATCAGTGAAGGTTTCCTCGTTCATTTCATAATGACTTCTCTACCTGCGTCTTATGGTCCATTCAAGATCAATTACAACACGCAGAAAGAGAAGTGGACAATGAGCGAGTTGATTGCTATGTGTGTTCAAGAAGAAGAGCGCCTTAAAGCTGAAAGACCAGATGTTGCTCATCTCACCACCACAAACTCAAAGAAAAGGAAAGGCAACCGTCAAGGAGGAGGAAAAGGTAACATTTCTAAGGTCCCAAAGATAGGTGCAAGCGTGAACTCTGGTCCCTACTGTAAGTTTTGCCGTTTCAAAGGGCATTACCAGAGGGAGTGTCCTAAGTTTAAGGCATGGTTGACTAAGAAAGGTAACTTAACCACTTATGTTATTTATGAGTCATTGAACACATCAGTTCCCCTTAATACTTGGTGGATTGACTCTGGTTCAATGGTTCATGTTTCAAACACACTGCATGGATTCCATTCAATCCAGACATTGGGAAGAAAGCAAAGAGTGATTAAGGTGGGCAACGGAGAAGAATTAGAAGTGGAGGCCATTGGAACTATCTCATTAATTTTAGAGAATGGCTTCATTCTTCATCTTCGTGATGCTCTTTATGTACCTAATATTACTCGTAATTTAGTGTCTGTATCGAAACTAAATGCTGATGGTTTTACATTTAATTTCGTATACAATAAAGTGACAATAAGTTTGAACTCAAATGTAATAGGATTTGGTAGCTTGGAGGGAAACCTCTATAAGTTATGCTTAGACACTAATTTTATGGAATCCCCATTGTCATTTAATATAACTGAAAATCCTTGCAAGAGAAAGAGAGAATTGGAATCGTCGTCCAATTTGTGGCATCAAAGGTTGGGCCACATATCACGAGATCGAATGATAAGACTCGTGAAAGACGACATTCTTCCAAATCTTGACTTCTCAGATTATGACAAATGTGTGAAGTGTTTGAAAGGGAAATTATCTAAGAAAACTAAGAAAGACGCCACGCGAAGCACCGGTTTGTTAGAATTAATACACACGGATATTTGTGGGCCTTTTCCCGATTCCATTAGTGGTCATAACTCCTTTATTACTTTCATAGATGATTACTCACGCTATATGTACCTATATTTGATTAAGGAAAAATCCGAATCACTAGATATGTTCAAGGCTTATAAAGCCGAAGTTGAAAATCAACTTGATCGAAAGATCAAAGTAGTGAGATCGGATAGGGGTGGTGAGTTCTATGGTCGACACACCGATATTGGTCAAGCTCCCGGTTCTTTCCATGAATTTTGTAAAGAACATGGGATCATCAACCAATATACCATGCCTGGCACCCCTCAACAAAATGGGGTTGCCGAAAGGCGGAATAGGACTCTTATGGATATGGTCCGAAGTATGTTGGCTAACTCAAATCTTCCCCAATTTTTATGGACCGAGGCCCTTAAAACAGCAACCCACATATTGAATAGAGTACCATCTAAATATGTTCCTAAAACTCCATATGAGTTATGGACGGGAAGGAAGCCTAGTCTACGGTACCTAAAAGTGTGGGGTTGTCCGGCTGAAGCAAAAGTGTATAATCCTCAATTGAAGAAACTTGACATGAGAACTATTAGTTGTTCCTTTATTGGTTATCCCGATAGATCTAAGGGATATAGGTTCTATTGCCCATCTCATACTACCCGGATTGTCGAGACCCGACATGCTGAATTCCTTGAGAATACTAACATTAGTGGGAGTAGTAATGGTTCAAACATTAATGATGAACTTCAAGAGGGTGATGGAATGAATCCTCTTATTATACTGCCCATTCTACCTAACTCTTCACTTGAAGATCATAGTGAAAGTCATAAGCCTCATAATAATGATGCAACAAGTCAAGAGGCGAATGAAACTCCAATAAATGTTGAACCAACTCCACCTGTTTCTAATGAAATTCCAGAAAATCAGCAATCCTTAAGGAGATCTCAAAGGGTGAGACGCCCCACAAATTTTGACGAATATTTGATATATTTAAATGAAGAAGCCGACTTTGATTTAGGGAAAGTCGTAGATCCTATATCTTTCCATGACGCCATTAATTGTGACCAATCGATTTATTGGAAAGAAGCCATGAATGAAGAACTTCTTTCCATGGAGAAGAACAATGTTTGGGAACTTGTTGAATTACCAAAGGGTCATAAGCCCGTTGGAAGCAAGTGGGTCTTTAAAACTAAATTATATCCAAATGGAAACATTGAAAGATACAAAGCAAGATTGGTTGCTAAGGGCTACACTCAAAGGGAAGGTGTAGATTATCAAGAGACCTTTTCACCTGTCTCTCGAAAGGACTCCCTAAGGGTCGTTATGGCTTTAGTAGCTCACTTTGATCTTGAGCTACATCAAATGGACGTCAAAACAGCCTTCTTAAATGGAGATTTACACGAAGATGTTTATATGATACAACCAGAAGGTTATGTTTCTAAGGGTCAAGAACATCTAGTGTGTAAACTCAAGAAGTCTATTTATGGGCTCAAGCAAGCGTCTCGACAATGGTACCTCAAATTTGATGAAGTCATGAAATCAAATGGCTTCATTAAAAACAAAGTAGATCAATGCACTTATCTCAAAATGAGTGGGAGCAAATTCATCATACTTGTGTTATATGTTGATGACATCTTATTAGCAAGTAGTGATCTGGATTTATTGCATGAAACAAAACGCTTATTATTTGGCCATTTTGACATGAAAGATTTAGGTGAAGCTTCTTATGTTATAGGCATTGAAATTCACCGAGATCGAGTCAAAGGGACGTTAGGTTTGTCCCAAAAGGCATACATTGAGCGTATTTTAGAACGTTTTAACATGCAACAATGCTCTCCATCAGTTGCTCCAGTAGTTAAGGGAGATGTTTTTGGGTCATTCCAATGCCCAAAAACCGAGGTTGAGAAAGAGCAAATGAAACTCATTCCGTACGCTTCTGTAGTTGGAAGCCTGATGTATGCTCAAGTGTGTACTCGTCCAGATATCGCATATGTATCCGGCATGTTGGGTAGATATCAATCTAACCCAGGATTAGATCATTGGAAAGCCGCTAAGAAAGTTTTGCGGTATCTTCAAGGGACTAAGGAGTACAAACTTACTTACCAGAGGTCTAATAATTTAGAAGTGGTGGGATATTCCGATTCTGACTTTGCTAAGTGCAAAGATGATAGGAAGTCTACTTCGGGATACATTTTCTTGCTGTCAGGTGGGCCAATATCTTGGAAAAGCCACAAGCAAAGACTTACGACTACTTCAACAATGATGGCTGAATATGTTGCGGTGTACAACGCAACGTGTCATGGGATGTTGCTAAGGAATCTTATCAAAGGATTCAAAGTAGTAAATTCTGTCTCAAGACCGCTAAGGATTTATTGTGACAATTCCGCGGCCGTGAGCTTCTCAAACAATAACAGTTCGAGTGGAGCGGGATTGTTCCTCGATACAAAGTATTTGTTCGTTCGAGAAAGAGTGGAGGAAAACGAAATTTGTATCGAACACATCAGCACGAATGATATGCTAGCAGATCCTCTCACTAAAGGACTTTCGCCTAGTATTTTTCAAAGACATGTCACTAATATGGGCTTGATGAAAGATCCTGTTTAGGAAATTATAGCGCAGTGCCTGAATAACTATCTTATGTATTAATATCAAGTACTTGATTTAAAATTCCTCCCTAAGTATGTTTTGTCTATTCTTCATTGTGCACACAAAGTTATTTTAATAGACAAACATAATACCCTAAGTTTAATGTCATTTGGCTTATATTAATCCTTATACTCTTTAAGAAGTGTCAAAGTATGATTAATGGGGGTCCCGGGTTATATTGACCCGTCAGACTGTATTTATTTGCTTTGATATTATTATGGAGTAAGATGAATTTTTGGCCAAAACTTACTTTAACTTATGTATAAATGATCTCAAGGTCAAGTGGGAGAATGTTGGAAAATATTCCATTTAAATGCCCTTGGACCATTTATATAATTTAATAAATATTGGGGACATTTATGTCTTACCATTAAGTTTGCCATATGACATATTTGGTCTCTTTATTTATGTATAGTTAACATATGATGGGTATGTTTTAACATTAAATAATACATAAGGGGCCAATTGGGTTTCTCTTTGATACAAAACATAAATGACCGCTCGTTCCATTCTTACGACAAATGAGAAGGGGCGTGTCTCCTCCCAAGGGTCACAAGAACACCTATAATAAGAGACCCAAGGGAGACTTAGAAATCCATCGAATTTGTTGTTTGTATCCTTAGAGAATCCACACATCCATGGCTATGGCTTCATCATCTTCTACAACACAATCAAAGTTTGGTTTCTCCCCGACTGGTTAGTGTTCTTCGATGTATTTGATTCTGAAATTTATCATGTTTGTGGGATTACATCCTTAATTGGGACTGAATTTCTCAACAAAACTCTCCTGCGTTTCAGTTCTCCATATGCCTCCTCTTTACTAGCCTTGGACTCGGCCGAGAATTCCCCCCGATATCAGACTTCCGCTGACCTTTGTAACCATCTGAACTAGAGGCTCCAGCAGATAACCATTTATTAAATCCTGTAGGGCTGGTCTTCATTCTTCCATTTGCCCTAAGGTTTACTCCATAAATTTTCTCAGCTAGAAATCCCTCCTCATATTTCAAAGGGCAGAATTTGTCAGAATGCCCAATAATACCACAAATAAAACAGAAGCTAGGTAGTTTTTCATATTTGAAATCCACCCAATGCTTCACTCCATCCCGAGTCAGATTAGTACCTTTTTTCAAAGGTTGGCGAACATCCAAACATACTCGGATTCGCAGATAAGGGCTCTGCCTGCCATCAAACTAGCTCATCTCAAATTTAATAAATGACCCTAAAAAGTTGCCAATTCTCCTAGCAGATTTCAGATTCCTATATTTCATAGGGGCATTATGAACCTGTACCCAAAAATTGGACTCGTACAAGTTCATAGATTCCGGTATATCATCTGGTTTAACAGCCTTCAACAAAATCAAATCACGCTCAAACAACCAAGGACCATCATCAATCACACGGTTCATATCTAAAACATGGTTAAAATTAAGCAGAAACCTTCTTTCACCAATTTCCTTAATAGACATACCTCTCCCTGGTTTCCATAGAGAA